GATTAGCTAAAATATGCTGAAAATTGACTACCGTTTCTTCAGGTCAGTGTTTAATTGAACTAAGTGAAATATATCCACCTTACACCGCGTGAGCATTTATTCTAATTACGAAGGATATTATCTTCCCAGCTATTCAAATGAGTTTATGTCTTAGGTAACAGAATATACTGGATAATTTAGATTATGCTAAAAACGAGGGATAGTTTCGTATTCATAATGTAAGCTGGCCATATCAGCTTTACAAGTATATCAAACTGAAGCCCACTTCCTTCAGTATGATGCCGAAATTCATCTCATATGCATTGTGAAATATAGAGATGGGTAACTCTAAACTATGGCAGCCCGAACCCAAACTACCTAGTGAACGGACAAACAACCTTAACAAGGACAACTTTGACCAATCAGAAGGCTCTAAAATACGGTGCCTAATTTTAATAAATCGTTTATATAAAAGTAATGCAATGTTAAAAAAAAGTTACAAGGGATAACGTTCTCGTGTATGTTCCAAAAACACCTCTCAATTTCTCATAGTAGTCTCGATACTTATGTTAAATCAAGCCTTGCACATAAACTCATCGACCCATTCACAGATCTGATCTGTTATTTGAGGTGACTTCGAAAACTTTCGATGGAATTAGTGTGAGTTCCATCGAAAGGATTGATGAAACAATTTGTAAGGTTGACGACTTGATGAATATAGCCCCATTCATCAGTATGAATAGTTGTATTGGGCAACCCTAAAAGCTGGATAATAGGCAATAAAACATCTGCTCTGCGATTACGGATTGCCTCAATGTATCTTTTCTGGAGGCTCATGTCATATATCCCCAATACCCATTGCTGCTTTGCACTTAATCTCCCTCGATTATATTTTCTTTTGATCAACACCGTCGCATCAACGTGAACAATGACGCCAACTCCACCAAGTACTTGAGTCAGCCTGTTCATTTTCCACGATGATAGGTCTCTGCAGTATTGGTACCATTGCACTGCAAATACTTCCAAATTTTCTGTTTCATACGCTGTTACTGTTACTGGTCTTTTCAGTACCCAGAAACCACACATCACTAAAATTTTCGTTAAAGATAATTTAGACTTTGCGAAAAAAGTACCTAAGGAATCTGTAAACTAAAAGGAGAACAACATACCTTCTCGAACTGATTTTCTGGTTCTGCCCTCAGTGCGCCTGTAAACAAACCCATCAATGCACCTAGTGTATCTTAGTATATGCATGACACCTCCACACTGACAATTTTTAGACCTTCCTATCACTCTGTTCTCCAAACAGTAATCAGAAACAAGATCTGGAGAGAATTTGCAACGCAAAAGGTGCAGAGCATCCATAATTACGTCTGGATAACACGGAGTCACCTGATTGGTTGCTCAAGGTCATTTGTCCATTTGCTAGGTAGTTTCAGTTTGGACTGCTTTAGTTAAGAGTTACCTAGAGACGTAATTTTAATCTTGTCAGATCTTCAATCACCGTGGAAGTTAGAATTAGAAAGAATGATGAATCCGCTAGAATATTTTCAAAAATTAAGCTTACAACAGAACATGATCATGCTCAATTTTCTTTCAAACAGCTTTAAAACCAAAAGGATCTGAACATTACAGTGTATTTGTTCAATACATAGATTAGACACATCGAGAAGTTATGAAAGACTTATTTAAGTAAGAAACGCTGAAGTTTATTTATCTTTTTACTGTATCAGTCAGGTATTCTTAATATTTCTCTGGAAGCGCTAAATAGTTCGCTGTTTCTAGTTAGCTTTACTTACTTATTTCATAGTTTTCAGTTCATAATTTGCTAGTTAGTCAACAGTATTTACTTAACAGTAATTGACTTTTCTTAAATTAATGTGAACCTGTATCGTTGGTGACTTTAGGAACTAAGTATATTTGTCTTTTAAACAATCCTCAGGTTTCAGTATAGGTATCAAGTTAATTAAGCGAGGAAATATATATATATATATATAGCACACTTGATACAATACACAATACTAATCAATTGGCTATATATTTGTTACCAATAATTAGTCAGTATCAACATGTCAAGGGGGTGATAATTAACGAAGAAAATTAATATGTAGAATTGAAGGGTAGAAATGGTTACAGCAAGTGGATTGAATAATGCACAATTTCGGAAAAATGAAGAGTAATGCAGGGATATGAATCAACATGTACATAAGACTCGCTGTAGTAGCTACTTCATTGTTATTCAAGTGGTGGTTTGAAGGAAATCTATTCGTTACAGGCTCGGTCAAGAGCTTACACCAGTTACAGACTCATATGAAAAAGGGCTTTCCCCGTTACAAAGCGAGCTCATATACCATTCAGCCACCGGGAGATGATTAAGTGCCACATGAATTCCAACTTCCGTCAGTTTGCCGTACATAGCTCAACTACCATAGAAGGTCAAAGGCGAGTAAGTGTCCTCTTGTATGATTTCGTGGGCGCTGTTGGTCACAACTTTTCACCGGAAGTCCACCTAAATTTCCGTGTATTGGCAGTAGCTATTGAATACCCGATTAATTTTTAAATGTTGGCTTGCAGGAATTTGACTGATAACAGGTTTGATCACTATCTGACAATAGCTGGAGGTTACTCTTTTTGTCGTAAATTAGCAGAAGTTGGAATTCATGTGCCACTTTAACATGTCCCAGTGGCTGAATGGTCTACTAGCTCGCCATGTAACCGGAAAAGTTCTTCTTCATATATTTCTCTAAATGTTATCATCTCTTGACCAAATCTGTAACCAATAAAATCCCTGAAAACCATCACCTCGATAACAGTTAGGCGATCACTACAGCGCATCTTCCAGGTACTTATGTACATGTTGATTCTGAAGTTTTCGACCAGTATCTACCATCTGATTGCTCGATGGTCTCATCGTTCCCTCACTTACTACTCATTGTTCTATATAAATATAAACTATAAATATCTTTTTGCATGCAACGTCTGTTTTTAGATTTTAGTTTTCTTCAATTCAATGTTAGATTTTATTCGGTTTCAATGAATATGACCTTTTATATAGGAACCTCATGGAAACGTTTATTACGGCAAATAATTGGTTATTGTTTTTTTCCTTCACATTTCCCAGTGGAACATAGGGCTTCAAGCTAGTGGGTTTAAGTTCTGTAGCAGTGTTTATTTTACAGCCTCCTGCCCAACCTTTCCTCCTTACCAGCATTATTTCTGGATTAGCGAGGTAAATGAGTGCGTCTGTGGCCGGAGATCGAACCCCGGACCATGTGTATTGACGGCGAGTGTCCTAACCGCCGCCGACGCCTAATAGGTTATTGTACATATATATACATATATATCCCATCAACAAACATGAACATCAGTAATTATTCATTTATTTACAATAGTAAGCTAAACTACATTAAAAGGAATTTTTAGAATTGTGCCTGAAACCTAATCAATAGGAAGCAATACACTGTTGGTTTCCCTTCGTTTTAGTGATCACATTTGAGAAGAGAAGCTCCTCTGGTAGAGAAAAATCAGGGTGTATAGAGAAGCAAACATGTTGTAAATACATGTTTTCATCTCTCAAAGGTGCGACTATAAGGGATTGATCCACCCAAGCAGTCGTAGCTTCAGAGTTACTAACACTGCCACGAGAGATGTCAAGTTTCCCTAGTCTTAATTGTCCATTAATGAAAATTTTGTTTTGATAAGAAAGCTAAGCCCACCGTACAATACTAGTGTTTTGTTTGTATTTATGATTTGAAATTAGTTTAGTCGCCTGTTTTAATCTCATACTAATGTGAAACTTCTCCGTCAGAAAATAGATACCAAGAACCAATTGTTGGATATAAAGTGTGAATTGTGTATAAACAAATATAAAATAAAAAAGTACCCATTCGATGAACTTCTCGCTTTCACTTGCTGATATTACTCCAATTTTTCCGTTCATTGATATTTTTTACTTTATTCCGTTTGCTTTCCCAGTGGACCGAAGGGAATCAAGGGTGAGACCTGAATTTTCAGCAGCAGTGGCGTTTCTTTACACAAGATTTGGTTGCTAGTCTCATGACCAACCTCCCCTCTAATCGAGTTTAGCAGTGCGTCAGTGGCGAGGCCTAGAACCACAGAACACTTGCAGCGTTAGCGAATGTTCTGCCATCGACCTACCGACACCACTGATTGCTTCTATTGGACCAAAATGCCTGGTACTCAGTGCATAAAAGATGACTCTCATAGTCTAATGGTTTAGTGCATACTTTTAAGGCTCACTGCGAACACCATCAATCACTAGAGGTGCAGATGCACTCTAGTTGATAAGTCCCAATTAGAATGGAACTTGTATTCTGGACTCCGCCTCCCATCAAGTAACATCACGATTATCTCAAGGTAGTAATGACATCCCTATTCAAGTACCAAAAATGCCATCAGTGACCAAAACTTATGAGCCCCATGTGAACTGTCAAGAGGAAATTGAGCATACAACAAATAATACGCGTTTCTCAAGAAATGATTCGCGTGTCATTGCATCTCAGTTTCTACATGTTAATTAGCTCTGAATCCCTTAAGGAGCGAAAACTCAAGGTTATTTTTTTTGAGCCTGGAATACTGGATAGGAGTGCTTTCTATAAGGTTTGAGATTACATTTCATTGAAATTAATTTTATTGAAGAAGTGAATCAATGTGTTCTGTATTTAACAACTCAATGAGCATTGTTTGAAAAATAAACAAAATTAAATACAGAAATAGTCGGTTAACGTTTGTAGTGACTTTAATAACAATTGATCAACTCCAATATGAAAGAAACTAGCTGATTCATACAAATCGAAATTCGCCAATAATTCGACAAAATTACCTTTATTTGACTTACATTTCCTATATTAGTTAATAATATTAATAATGAGTTGATATCTTAACGGTACAATCATTAAAAATATCAATTTTTGAGTATTTTAATCAATTATATGATTTCTTATTGGACATAATTTTACTTTAAATTCAACGGAGTTTTCGGGTAGTAATCATCGAGTGGAATTCACTTTGAAATACTGTGACCATGGAAATCAAGAGAGTAAGTGCTTCATTGTGGTGAAACAGTACCTAATTAACCTTCTTTTTTTCTTTCATTTCCGCTTTAGTTAAGCGTACTCATTTTCGTTATGCTTGCTGTATATTCGTTTGCCGTGTCCGATGTACAAGGTAAGTGTTTCAACGTTGAATATATCTAATTGATCTAAGTCATTTGAATAATAGTGCACACCTAAATTACCATTCTCAAAGGGTGAAAATTTAGATAACTAGGGCAACAAACAGTCGAACCATTTTAGGGAATTATATTTTTATTTCTTGTGCTGATGGGTCTTTTAATTTTGAGGCTGTCGTTTCCTTCCCATATGTCATCTAGATGTGATCTCCAAAGGTGTATAAATACTTCTTAACTTAAGCACCCCATGAAGAGTATTAACGCTGAAAGCATTTACCATGCATGAGGAGGTCACCTTCGATGTATTCTAAAGGATCAGGCTAGGTGTAGGTTGTTGTTTTGATTCTGAGTGGGACACAAACCTATACCACCACTTCTCTATTTCACTCTGCTCTCTGAAGACTATTTCAGCTGGCTCCATGGTTATCTAGAAGCCACAGCTTCTTGTTGCCTATCCTCTTAGACCGGCCATATCATCTTAGGTATACGGCGAAGACAGGTATTAATGAAATAAAGACTAGGACTTATAAGAAGTAGTCTGAGATTACAAGAACTCTTATATTATAAGTTATTTATCAAGAAATAGAATTACAGGTCTTTTATAATCACTTGTACTTTATTCAAGTAGTTTTCAAATTATACTATATTCAAAGAAAGAAATAAAATTATATACAGGATGTTTAACAGACAAACTACAAATCTGGAGAATAATTTGCCTTCACCACCGAGTTGATTCCTTTAAAAAGATCACAGTTATTTTACCAGTAAGACGTTGTATTTGAAGACATCCATGGATAAAAATCACTGCGTACTGTTAATTCTTCAGTGACATACTTGTGTTTCATAAGCAGGTGATTCAGCAGTAGAATACTTCTTAACCACGCACTTAATCCGGGATTTGATTTCTAGTCACCGACAAACTGCTAAACCTCACTACGTTGGCAGTAAGCTCATTAAAAAAAATGGAAGCTCAGGAGTAAGGCTAACAATCTCGCCTCGTAATAAAAAAATCCGCTGCTACTGAAACTTCAACACTTGAAGCTTGCAGCCCTATAGTCCATTAGACATTCAATGGAATAAGGTGAATTGCATCTGTGTTTTGTTATGATATTAGATAATATTTCCATCTGCCTTATATTTATCTCTGACATTTTTTTATTATTATAGCCAAGAAGAAAGCTAAGAAACAATGTACTAAACCTGCGAAAGGTGAGTAACCTAATTTTCAGATCACGCTCATTGTTTTACTCATTTTTTAAATCACTGATCCTTAATCATTTTCTACTGAGATTGATTTCAACACTGTCTATGCTGACTGTACCAGTCATAAGTGCTAGGATTGCAAAATATTACTTAGAGACAGCCATGATTACGAGGGGGGAATTCTGTGTGGTAATTCCACATACATATAAAATGTCTTCATCTTTAAACTACTCTACCTCAAGGTTTAACTGTCACATTTTAATATTTCAGAGTGTTTATTTTTACGCTTTTCCATCTGTTTCAGTTAGATCCAATTTTTAAGCTTCTATTTACGTAATGTTACTTCTTTCTTCTTCCTTTTTGTACTAAACATAGACACTGGTATGTGTGTCGGGAGTGTTCCTTTCCCTTGAAGAAACTGAAAAGCATGACCATAGTAATTATTGACAGAAACAGAGCTGATATCTGTTAAAAAAAACTTAGAGAAACGTTTATATTGGCTATCTTGAGTAGGACGAATGATATTACTTGTCACTCAGTTCATAACGGCGGTTAAATGAAATTTTCAACAATAGTGCACTGACCAACCAAGCAAGTATTCAGAGATTCGTTCCCCGATCAATGCGCTCCCAAAACCAGCTTAGGTTGTACTAAACCTGGTAGAGAAGGAGGATGTGGTTTGAGGCTAGCAACCTCATCCTGTAAATAGCATCACTGTTGTTGTAAATTCAAGGCTCCAGCTTTCAGCTCTATGTTCCACTGGGAATGCAAAGGAATAAAATGAAAATAAAAATGTCAGTAAGTTGCCAGACAGAAAGGTGAATGTCTTCTGCGAAGGTTACAGATAATCATTAGTGTGAACCAATTTATTCATGAGTAAATATTCCATCACAGTTAATGTATTCAACTTCAGGTTCTATTAATTCTGGTCACTTAGCAACCTTTCTGCAGTTATGAGTTTTTCATAGTAACGACAGATGCAGATAGGCTTTAATGACTGTACCCGTTAAATAATCTGAACTTGCTGATGTGTAAAACATTTTCACACATATCTTTTTTTAAATGAACATTGTAACTACTTAACTCCTTTTCCATAAGGAGTACATTTGAATACGTTTAAGATATACGTGGTTACAGTTGCGCAATCGCATTTCACCTAACTGGCTAAATACAGAACAGCTTATTTGGTGATCTCCGAAAATCTACTCGTGAAATTAGCTTTACGTGACTGGCATTTTCGTATGACTAATGTGGTTCTTCCTGCCAATACAAATTGTTATATCTCACATCATGAGTAGGTGTAAGGCTACAAGTGCACTTATTTTATGAGCACCTAAAATAAATCACTCACCTTCATCAGTTTTCACAAAAGTTATCAGCAGTAAGTATTCTAGTTACTTCTGAAGCGCAGTGTTTTAAGCGTTCCACTTATGACGAGATTTCTCAGTGTTAGCTCTCAATAGTTCTTACAAATTACTATTATTCGCTGAGTGGATTTTAAGTGGAACACTGAACTTCACCGGCAGATCACCATTTCACTGTGTTCTTCTATATGTTTCTTAGGTAACCAAGTGATTGCCTATAGGCTTCCTTTCCTCTTCACATGATCTAGTCCACGACATTATCTACTCACAACCTACTTATTGCCTAAGATTCATATTATGGTCGGGAGACTGCATATATTTTGATGTCAGTCAATGGACTCCTCCTTATCTCTTCAATCTATCTGCATTTCCTTCAGAATATTTGTTGAACATAGATTGTTGTTTGATTCCACATCAGAATTCATTGTTGCTTATCCCTTCTATCCGGCCATTTGACTTTCAGTATGAAGAGAAGGCAGCTACTGATAAAAGTCATCAATTTATCAGAAATGTTTTTGGTTAAGCACCAAATTTCTGAAGCATACAGAATCAATGAATTATCATCATTGTTGGAAAATCGAATCTTGCTTCTTTTCGTGGATGCTGTAGATCTCAACCCTTATTTCAGAGTATTGAATACGTGTATTGCTTTCCTTACCACAATCTAGCTGGTCTTGATATCTTTGTGATTGAAAAGATACTGTCTAATAAACTGAAGGAGATGGCTTCCATTAGATTTATGCTACTTAATTACTTAATTCAGAATTATAATCAACTTTTAGAATATACTTATATGACTAACAGGTAAGGTATGATAATCACTGAAGTCATAACAGAATTAGATTTACAAGTGTCCACTGTATTAATTTGACTGATGGATTACTTTTTATTTAAAAATTATTGTGTCTAACCCTTGCAATGAGTTCTAGACTTCTTATTCGCTTTGTTACCTAAATTAAATGCTTTATTTGATGCAGATAACGAAGACTGGGAGAGTTCTGACTACACGAATGTAATTGAAACTAGCCTGAAACGATTCTTATCTGATTATAAAGGTAAACTAAAATTATATCAATATATGTTTTTAAATTAGTTTATTAATGCACACCTATATACTAACTTGATTTGGGGTTCACTCCCCATTCAGTGACTCACTTTTAACCTTAACTGGCCCCTGATGAGTCAGAGAGAGAGAGAGAGAAAGGTGAGGCCAGTAACAACCGTGCAAACAATTTCATTGCTGCTGTAAATTCAAGGTTTCAAACCTGAAGCCGTATCTGCCACTCGGAGAGCAGGGAATGATAATAAACGACACAGGTATAACTCTACTGAATTTCATAACAGCATCTTATCAGAATAATGAGTGTATACTGCCTTAGGTTTCTCCGGTAAAAAATTCTTAAACACCAGGAATTTAGTCATCACTACTGAATATGCCTCTATTGTAGCAATCAGAAGCCTAGAGATTCACAGTTATTTCTCCAGAGAAACGAATTTCTAGTATTTTCTGATTTACCACTGATGTTATTCTATAATGAAACCTGTAACGAATTAAATTCCAGCAAACCATCACTTGATAAGATTTAGTTCTGAGGAAGCTACTTGATACTGTTTAATTAGAACACTACAAGATTTCTGACGTATCAGAGACTTCAACTTTCTGCGATTAATTATAATATATGAATTTGAATAAGAAAGATTCCTCCTTAGTTAATTAAATTTATAAGTACAAGTAAAGCGGTACAGTGTATAGTGTCTCCGAGATCGTTTCGTATAGTGTTAAATATTTTCAAGTATTGGTTTTGTAGGGATTTTGTTTGATTGCATGGAGGACTTCACCATGAGCTAACATCAGTCAGAGAACCAGTGGAAGACCTGGGAGTACTGGACAGCTGTTTCGTCCTAGTTTGGGACTCTTCATCAGTACGCACCCGCCGGGGTTCGAACCCAGGACCTTCTGGTTACAAGGTGAGCTCGTAGACCATTGAGCCACTGGGACCCGGTCCAATGGTTCTTGAATTCTAACCTCTGCCAGTTCGCGACATAGCGCGACCACTCTTTGAGATAACTTTTGCGTTTCATGCTATAAGTGGTTAAATTTCAGTAAAATAAGCTAGAATAACTTCAACAACATGAGCACTTCAGTGCCAATTTAGTAGTAGTTTATAAAATAACTTGCAACGTCAATTTCCCTTGCCAAAAGTATTTCAACATAAAGGAAAGTCACAACAGTCAAAATATATCAAGTCGTTAGCACTCTAATTATGAGGATAATGTACACTGCACTTGTGTTGTTTGATTAGTGGTTGTTCGCAGAGGAATTTAGAAAGTCGAATTCCGTCCGATTTAAGACTTGTCAGTATTCCCAGTGAATTATGCTTTTTCAGTTGGAAATGTGGATACAAGTTTCAAGTAGGATGAGTAACGAGTTTTCTGGATCAAAATACTAGTCAGTAGATTAGTCAAATATCAACCATTCGATGGAGATATCACAGAGATACTGTACTTTAATTCTCTATAATGCAATATTGGAAAAGTTAAAACAATAATTTCAACAAGTACACCAGCATTAATTACAAACTTAGTCTACTTAGAACTAAACAGCCCCTTGGTGTTTACAGTACTTCAAGATATCCACAGAGCAAATCGTAGCTACTCATACAAGGTGTGTATGTCTGTCATTGAAAAACAATCTGTGGTCTTAAATCCGCAAAAGAAGTTATGGTCAAAACTTTTCACTGAGCTGTTTGATTACAAATAATCCGGAGATTCGTTTTGTATCGCTACTGTAATTGTGGCCAGATAGTATTATTTTTTATCAAGTCATTGTAATTTAAATGTGTTGACTATTTAATTCCGTTTTAATTTAGACGATGAACTCAAGGAAGAGATGCAAAGGCTACTCGAAATCGCGGATGCGAAGAAACCTGGTGAAAAGGAAGAAACAGGTAGGATTGGTAATGCCACAGATAGTAATAATAATAAGATGAATTATGTTTGGTACTTTGAGGTCATTCCATAAAATAATGCTGTGGTATTCCTTGTTAAACTCAATATCATATCACCTTAGAATTCAATAATTACTTAGAAAGAAATGACATTCTAAAATTTCGATGTTTGGAATGAATTTCAAATAACAAAAGTGAACGAAATAATGAAGGTGATAGGCAGTAGGATTTATTTTGAGATAGTAGAAACCTTGGCTCACCTTACGAGATAGTTCAAGCAAAGTATGAATTTTATGAGGTAGTGGTCCTGATGCATCTTAATTCTTTATTATCTATCAAGCAATAACTAGCTAGTAAGATATGCTTTTCGTGTCAAGTGCAGCCATAAAATCAATCAAGGGTGGGTATATCCTCTTGTCCTTGATTATCATTATTCCATTGGGCTTCAAGTGGAACTTGGGGCTTAAACAGCCCTGTGTTATCCGCTGTCTTTTGTTGTCAGTCCAAAGGTTACATATAACTTTTCATTTCCCTCCCAGATAGTCCTCATGTCACTCTAGGACCCACAACCAACTGAGCATGTGATGTTATTTAATGGAGTCGTTAGACTCTGTCCAAACCATCTCACTCTCTTTCTGAATATGTGTTAGGCAACAGACTCTAGGTTGGTTGGTTGGTTGGTTGCCAAAGTTCCTTGTCACCATTAGTATGGAGCCAAGAGAGCTATTGATAAAAGTCTGAAACTTGCTGTGAATGCTTTGAATCACGTGTATGCCCAGCCTTTGAACTATATATATATAGAAGCACTGACTGATTTGACATTGGTGTTGAAGACACGAATGTTATTCTTTATCACTCATTTCACAGTGATGACGGCATAACTTTCTTTTCTGATTCTGGATGGCTTTAACCTCCTTATCTATGTTGTCTACCTCAGGGCCTATATACACTGAAGGCTTTAGGTGATAATATTCGGCTTGCGCTTGCCAGTATTTCATTCACCATGTGAGCATAAGGCACAACAGGCGCTTATGCACGAAGTCTTTCATTTAATCATAGTGTTATTTCTCATATTTAAAACTATCCAAGAAACATCTATGCATAATACACAGTAGTAAAATTATAATGAAATAATACTTTTTTTCTTCTATCTCAGATGAACCTGGATGGGAAACAGAAACTGAATCCGAAAGAGAAATAATTGTTGGTACAGTGAAAAGAGGTGAAAAGATTAAACGAGGTAGATTTCGTTTTCCCAAGTTAATTCAATACTAAAGTTTATATGGTAAATACCCTTCAGTATATTAGTATAAATCGGTTTTGGTAGGAACGTTTACAGGACAAAAAAAGAAATTCAAACTATCTTTACAAAATGAGGGTCCAGATAAAGTCCAACTGATATTAACTGACTTCACTGCAAAACAGCTTGAGCTCCGAAGTTTCAGTAGCAGTGGAGTTTCCTTTTATGGGGTGAGGTTGCTAGCCTCACCCCTAGCCACCCTACCTTACAGGTGTTACTACCAGGTGTATGGAGCGCGTCGGTGAGGGATCGAACTCCGGACCATCGGTGCAGTCAACAAGTGTTCTACCATTCTACCACCAAATCACTAGTGTGATGCCGCTTGGTATCATTCAAACTATGTATGTAGAGAACAATATGGTCACTATACATCAATTATTCCCTTAAATTATAAAAATATTCATGCTTTTTGAAGCTATAAAGATATAAATTCCTACAAAAACCTACAATCTAAATGTCAGTCTACAACTCATCGATGGATATGGATGGATATCCTGAAGCAGTGCTGAGAAGTCAAGGTCAATGATGACGCCGTATCACGGACTGACAGAAGTTAGAGCTCACGGGTTAGTAAATTAGTTTCCAGATGGCGGAATGGTCAACGTATTCGTCCTCATAAATTCATGGTGTAGGGTAATGTCCCTGGTGAGATCATGAGTGTGCACAACTGAACAGTCCCAAACTAGGACGGAATAGCGGTTCACTACTCCATTATTTTTAATGGTCTTGAAGTGGTGTTGTTTCTTGACGAAGTCTACATCGAAGAAAGACATCAATTTTACAGTTAGTACTACTCTAGTGACTTCCTGTCAAAGCTGAACTACCAACCAACTCCAAACATTGATATTAGTCATTAACAAAGTACACTAAATGGTAAACGAAAAAGCAAAGTTTGCAGCTTCTAAAACGTGACTGAATAATACTAAACAGTCCAAGAAATTAAGGGCTGTATATATTTCTTTTAAATGTTTATTAAACAGTAAGTATTTAGAAAGAGTAATATTGTTCAAAAAATGAAGAGATTTGGGATTTTCTTTGACGTTTCGATGAATGATGCAGAGGAGAGATGCAGCGAAGGCGGCTTTCAAATTCTTCTTGATAAATGGGTCTGAAAAACTTTTATCTTGGCATTTCAGATTTACAACAGATTAGTCCTTTTGTATTTCTGGGTTTTTTTAAAATCACTATATATCTATTTCAAATGCTTTTCACAGAATGACAATTACAATGCATTCTGAACGATAGTATTTCAGATGCGCTCTAGTTCCCATTTATTCAAGTATTTCAAATCCTTGTGAGAAAGAAGGTGAAGTGGTTGTTTCTTGTAGTTGCCGGGTCAAAACTTGAGGCATTTTCTGCCATTTGAGAGTCTCCTTAGTGTACATTCAGTCCAGTCCGCATTTCCTTCTAGATATCTGTTGTTCGATAATCAAAAACTTCAGCTCCTTAGTGACTAGCTACAGGGCTAAACTGCCTGCAGTTCTAATGAGAAGTTTGGACCAGTAATATACGCCATATTGGGCATGAGGACAAATACTACCTGATTACATGTCACGGCGGTGATGATGAAAACATGAATTAGTAGCAGTTAGGATTTATGCGTCATTAAATAGGCTCTCAGTGGCTGAATTTTCTACGAGCTCAGCTTGTAACGGGAATGTCTTAAGCTTTTGATCCCTGATGGGTAGGTACCGTCGAGGAGCCGAAAACGATAAGGAAATTGCTTTCTATTACTCCCTGACCTCCCAAAGGTTCTCTCACTGATGTCAGCTCGGGATGAAACTGGAGAGAAAAATGTCCCCATATTTGGACTGTTAATGTTGAAGTTAATGATAATTGTTTCTGGTATGTGATCAGACTAGCGACAAACTTTATTCTCTTAGTGTGAGCTGAGATTAGACTTACACTACCTGAAAGTTAAAGTTATTGAATATAATACTATCCCGCAGACAATAGTTTACAATAACGCGGTATGTTCTTTTATTCATTCAGGTGGTGCAAACGAACGCGTTATTCTAAGGGAGAAAAAGCCTTTCAGCAAGGATAAAGGTAGTTCAATTACCTAATTATATACTATTCCTTATTATTCGAAAGTGGACTAACGTATAGTTACTAACAGTAACAATTTATCTATACTCACTTATCATATATATTAATTAGTTTTAGAACATAATATATAGTACTGATGCATGAATTTAGTAGCCTGTTAAAATAGTTGTTTTAATCAGTGGTGATATCTTGAAGTTGCATAGTAACAGCAGAACACAACCGTACTTGGTGATGGAATTACACATTGGGGTTTCTATGCACAGAGATAAGCTAAATACAACTATCTTAGATTTAAATAACAGTTTTCACACATCCTTCGTATTGTACTTCATTGTCTTCATATCATGTTTTCTATATTGTTAAAAGAGAACTATTTATTTCTTTTATTCTCCGTTGAATCCTTCTATTAGCTGTTCGATATTCTTACGGAAGATACGTACATTTGTTTCCGAATCTATATACTGCTTATTAATCTTGTTAGTAGCACACGTCAAAGTATTGTTCATGATGATCGAGGCATAAAATTCAATTGGCTGGTCATTTTTCCTAAAAATCAATGAATGCGATATTGTACAGTTCATGTGACAAAATCTGATGAACTACCACTACTCACCGTGAACTATCAGCGCAAACATCATGAACAAGGCATTCAAGAGTGATACAGTTGTCTTACATTGGAATCTATTCCATTGGGTAAGCATGTGCTACAAACCGCAGAAACTTGTCAGTTAATGAACAAATCTGAGAAACTGATACACATATTTGATATTTATGTTAAAAAGTGATCGGCAAATCTATCTGATCTACGAATTCGCATGAAGATATCAAATAAATGACCATTCACTTTTGTAGGACAAACTTTTAATGCAGTCACCAGCCTCTTTTATTTCTATGTATCAGATGAAATAACAGGTACACAGTGATGAAATGATCTACGGTGACATTTTTATTCACGGATATTAGAGAAGACAGTTTTCAGAAACGCTTAACCAAGAACTGTAGTCAGCTGCAGAAAACATCCTTCCTAATGAAAGGGATATGCAGATGTTTCGTATTTCTGTGTATGAGTATTTGTGAGATTATAGATTCCAGAGCAGTAATAATTTAAAAGATGAAATACAATTTTTCGATAAATGAAACCCACATCATAATATCAATAAATTAGCACTCTATTCAATTAAAGTGATCATTTATCATTTTTAATTTATTCAGGTCAATCAGATTGGGAGATAACAGATGAAGATGAAAGAGAACTATTCGTTAGAGGTCATTAATTGAAGAATTAATCAAGCAAGTCGTATGAAATCTCTTGTGATCTCTTCAGAATAACTTGAGCAATATAATGTTTTCACAAGAGTTAACTTAACGAGTCTTTTTTTAATCCAAAAAATGCCTGTCTATATTTTTTGTAACTGGAAAGATGATAAAGTGACTGATTTGAAAGTAACAGACAAACGTCTTCATACTGATAAAGGGAGAATTTATTGGTCTTAAGAGAAAATTACTATTCTTTAACTTAGTTCTTTGTGACTATTCAATTGCTACAGTTTATTAATACAGTAAACATTCATCCAAATAGTCGATGCAAGTCTTTTATGAAGACCAGCTTGAAATCAACTATAATACAAATATTTCTTGCGATAAACACTTATCTGATGCCAGCTAATAATTACTTACGGAACGAAAGTTCCTGGAATTCTAGTGAAAAAGCATGATCAGTGACGTCTGCCTGGTTAGTGGTGAGGATAAATACTCACCGATGACATTGGATGATGATGATGATGTTAAAATAGAGAACCGGTTGCAGTTGGAATTTACTAACCATTGAGTCAAGCATTAGTGATTGAATGGTCTATGAGCTCGCATTGCAATTAGAAAGTTATGTTTTCGAACCCCTTTAGTAGATGGGTACTTCAGAAGACTCACAAACTAAGACGAAACAGACGTGATGTACTCCCTGGTCCTCTAACTGGTATTAATCTGTGGTCAAACCTGAAAAAGGCAGTTATGATATAATTTGGATGTCCCCATAATTTATTCAGAACAAGAGTAATTTCAGGAGACAATTTACTTTCAATAAATTCATCTTTTTCAGGCTCTGCAATTATAAATTTATTAATTTTAGCATACAATAGTACCAGTAAAGGCAAATCAGAATCATATCAGAAGGTGTATCCTGGTACAAGTACAAGATGGAATGATAGTCGTTAAATTTTGATCCACATTTAAGTCCCTGTAAAATGTAAACTCATTAAGAACATGAAATTAAGTAACTAAATAATGCTTGCGTATTTATAATCGACGAAAGTATAGGTTTCAAAATGTGACGGTAGTCAGGGAGAGATATCAGGAAAATTCATTCATTGGTAATCCAGTTAGTTGGGATGGTAAACACAGCGGGTGGACATATTTACTCTGGATAGAGCGGAGAGATCTTCTGTTACTGATTGGTATCAATTCGCCGAATAGTAGGATTTGTAGTCTAGTGCATCAGGATAAGTGGCCAGAAGCATGGTAGGTCACCGAGAACACCTTCTTTGATTTGAGAAAATGTTTAGTATCCGCCAATCGGTCAAATACTGCACTATTTATGCTTTTAGTCATCCTATCGCCTGACTCTACACGTAGTCGCTCATTTGTAATCATTTATGCAGAATTTAAAGTGTATGCGCTGCTAGCTAAGTGATGCACTGAAAGTTAACTAAGTCTAATAAACAAATAACTATCCTTGAGAGTCGTTTATTGCTTGCATTTCAGTGGAACAAAGGGCTTTAGCTACAGTCACCCTTAACTAGTTCTACAACCTCCATCAATATTTTATTTTCACTTCGCATAACGCCAATCCCATGTCCTCCTACTTGAATTCTACCCGACGGCGTGGAGTGTAATTTCCTTGAAAAATTTCCTCAACATATGTCCGATACGTCTCTATTTTTCCTCAGGCTTAAGTTTAACTGGGAATGGCAATGGAATATATTAGAATTTAACTTGATTAATATGCCTACCAAATATAAATTTATACAACATTTTTGCATTTTCAACTGCTTTCTTTTACTTTTACAGAGAATGCAAAATGAAAACACTGAACAATCTTCCGAAAATATTCACAAATGACTGCAGAAATAAATATAGATAAATAACTATAAAGTGTTTTATTAAAACTAATCAAGAAGTATCTAATGGTTTGAATTTTTGCCATCTTCCGGTTTATATTTCAAATTTTTACTTGTTATTCCACTTATTAAGTGATTCAGTGTTACAAATCCAGCATCGTTTTTACTTTAGACTAAAATTGTATGCCAAACATCACGCAAAAGATACCAAAAACAGGGTTATGGTATATTTATGTTCTGTGTATTGTTTCACTCTAATTAATATAACTCACCTCTAGGTGGAACTGTCTCTCAACCACTAGTTATCATTCTGCATATTTTAAATGTTTTTCATTCACTTATTTATTTGTAGTCTTATTGCATAAAATTTCTACTTCGTGAACAAAGGAGACAATTTTTTCATGACTTTTATAATTCCGTTTGTTCTGAAATTAAGGGAGTATAGACCTGAAATAGTAGCATACGATTCCGGTAAACATTAAACTAACACGAGAACAGGAAATGCATGCAAACAGGATTTCCATTTCAGCTCCCAGATAGCAAGGAGAAATATAAAGTTATAAGAACAGATGAAAGCATGAAAATGTAATCATATTGGCAATTACCTACCACATCTATTCCAGTTTTTGAAGTTAATTACTATTCTTTTGAGTTCCCAGTGAAACAGAGGACTTCATGGGTAAATCTTCCTATAATCGCTTAATCAGCTAACCTTTTAGCTGGCTCCATGATTGTGTATATGCTTTCATGTTCACCTCACTAGACCCGTTCTATGTCCTACCCGGGCACATGTCCAAATTGTAACTTCCCATTTAGATTACATTCAAGTGACGACACGATGAGTTGTGTCTCTAAATGTTCGCCTCAGCTTAGGTTCAGTCCGCTTCCATTTCTTGGTTGGTTGATTATCAGAGTTTTGTTACTTATCTGGTCTTCATTATCGAGGGGAGGCAAGTGTTTATGAAACTCTGCAATCTGTTGGAGATGCTTTTCGCAAGGCCTATACCAAGTCTGATCCATATTAATGTTGAAGATCCGAACTTTGTTTCTTATTCTGAGTGCAGTAGATCTTCACACTGATTTCAGAGTGATGAACGCCTGTCTTGATTTTCCTATCCTCTTTCTGAGTTCCTCTTATGATGCCATCTAGGTAAATGAAATAACTGACTTCAATTTGATTTCTCCCATTAATGACAGTCGAGGTTTGGAATTGTCGGACGGGTATTTTCAAAACTTCTGTCTTTTCTAAGTCCACTTGAAGTCCTGCCTTTACTGCTCCACCTGCAATTTATTGGATTACAAAGGTAGTTTGTAGGAATTTGATTTTGTTCAGTTGAGATTAACGTCCGTTAGAGAACCATTATTAGTTTTTGACTTAGAGTTGATGTGACACTAGACATAAGTCGTCTGAGAAGTCCGAACCTCACGAAGTCGTCATTTTGACTAGTGAATCCTTATCTTATCACTCTCCTCTGTGATAATAGGTAGACTTGACTTACCCCTATCTTGACTCCAAAGGCTTTGTGAATCACTTGGCGTGCGGCATCGTCATACTGCTGTTCAATGTGGTCCATAAAGGTCTATGGCTCTGCATCCCACATTGCTGAAGTAGCTTTCAAGATGATCCACGGTCGATGCTATTGACAGCCTCTTCAAAGTCGATAAAGCTATGTTGGAGATTTCAGTGTCATTCCATGTTCTATTATATGATGATAGGTAGCGCTACAATTCGGTCAGCACACAATTTGTCTTCCTAAAACCAAGTTGTCCCGGGCGTCGTCTTGTATCCAGAACGTCTTTTAGACCCTCCATTATGATGAGGCTTAATATTTTGCTTTGTGTGGATTGTTTTACCGAATAATGCGAATAAAGTGCAAAGGAAGGCTAATCATACGAAACTTGCAGGTGATAATAAATATACACCAATAATGTGAAAGCATAGCTTAACAATCGATATAGATATCCTAAATATAATCAAAGCGTAGGGCAGAATTAATTGAATTAGCAAGTTTCAGGAGATGGCCGACTGGTTGTCTTACACATGTAATCCTATACTGTATTATGTAGTATACTTTCTCATAAACAAACTAATATAGGCAAACAAATCAAATGACTTAGAGCGTTGTGGAGGTAAACGATTCATAAGTGCCATTCGGAAAACTTATGACATGTTGAAATGTATGATAATAGATGGCGTATATTGAACAAATTGAGAGTGATTAATTGTTTCAGCCAATTTCGCACTTACCGTCGATTGGTCAGATCGAAATGTTCGACCTCTGTTGACACGCCGACCACCAGTACAGAATCTTCGACGGTGTCTAAGGTCTAAGATGAAGTAAATTGGTGACTGGTAACTGGCAGCAGAAGCCAGGATGATTGTTTCGACCCCTTAGAAACTCGTAATTCAGATATATTCACAGAGAGAGCGTTCCTACTGAGATTCGAGCCCAGAACCTATCGTACCCAATGTTAAAGATTCGCCTAAGCGATCACTTGGAGCACTTCTTGTACGACATGGATTAGTCACTGGCTTGAATAAATAATAACCAGTGTCCATCGCGCCCCATGAGGTCTAGGAAATAAAGCTTTGACATTTGAAACGTTGGTCAGTTTCAGTGGGAACACTAGCACTCATTGAAAGTTATGGGCAAAGCCAACGAGTCCTAAGTAGGATAATATGCACAACCTGGATTACAATACTAGTCGTCATCCACCAAAACCGAAAATGAATTAAAAGAATTGTCCAAAAGAACAGCTAACAGTTGGACGTGAATTTCGATTAAAATGTAAATATATTGAGTTATAAGTGCACATAAAATAAAGGAAGCAATGCACAAGAAGCGATAATCAGTACAATACTTGTCAAGTGTTTATTTTCTGAAAACAGCTCTATGAAGAAAAATATAACTGTAGAGTTTAAATCTTTATGAAATTCGACAAAACAGTTAAAATTATAGTGAATCTAAGTCTTATAAGCTGTTTACCCAGCACATCCGGCAAATCTGATCATATGGGCGCTTTTCACGAGAATTCATATGAAAGAGACGAATTGTTCAGGGGTCATTACGTAGGTGTAGGTCATGTTAAAATGACTAAATTTAAGGCCTATATAATAACTGTGATCGATACACAAAGGTACGGAGATACTAGTACATCTAGTCTGGTATAAAAACAATGTATTCACCATGAGGGGCCGAATGTGAAGACGAATTGTTTTGATCACTTGACGGTGGTCTACACACACTAACTATTAAGGCTTCCAAAAACTTTAAAATACTCTTTTCCACCCCCACCACCACATAGACATGCCAAACCGGGCTTACCATTTTAAATGCAGGTTTAGTTACAAAGAAGGCCCAGGTCCTTCACCTGTGAAGCATGTAACGGATACAGAGCTTACAGTGTGTGATTATACATAGACTAATAGTACTTTTTTCTTCACATGACGCCATCGTTATTATTTCATTACAATTATCAGTATTTTCCATCCCTGTATTTATGTCTAGCGTATATCGTTTGTAGGCTTATATCTCTGATGTATTTGTATTGTTTCTAATACCGGTGACCACACCCATGTTTGAAACCCACGCTTTTTGTTTTGTGTACATAAACAAACAAATCATTGATTTATTTCACCATATGACCTTATTGATTAATAATAAATCTAACTGGCTATTGATATTCAATCTTCTACATGTAATGTGGTTAAAACCTCTACCAGTGGATGTCACCATTGTGAGCTTATAGAATGGTCAAGTGAAAGAAATTATATCGAGTATGCATATGTATAAGATCTATTTATGGATAACGCCTTTATCATTTGTGATGATAACCATTCAACTACTGAACTTCTCGGGAAGTTTACTTGCATTCATCTATGTCTTTCACTGTCAAAGAAGTATTGAATTCCATATTTCACTCCTGAGAAATCTTGTTAGACAAAAGAGAGGATGGAACATTGAAAAAATTGATCTACTGAAACCCCACCTTTACTGGTTTGTAGATTAATTGTAACAGCTGAGTATCTCCAGGCAGAAAAATAAACCTCATCTATTCTGTTTGCTCCAGAACTCGAAAAGTGTGCAATATTCTCACGGTCGATAATAAACTGGAAAGCACTTGCAAAACACTCTAGAAATATGCATATTCTGGAAAGTTTGTTGAAGAAAAAATAAGAAAGAGACACCTCATATCCAAACCATAGTGCCAACAAGATTGTTTATCAGCTGGGTATCTAAATGTGATACTATTACTGAGGTGATTAAAAGTCGTCTATCCAGGTGTATGAAACGCTCATTTTAAACTGCTGATGACACTCAGCATTCTCCTGCAAAGTGTGATTCAGTAATGCATGAAGGATGACCTACCTGTTATCTTCACCTCTATGTGCATTTACTTATTTACATGCTCCTATTAAGCTGATTATGTTAAAAGTTATTAAATATAATCTCCGTAAATGAGTCACTGAAGAGTACCTTGTTTGACTGTTGAAAAGCAATCATAGGATGACGATATCTTCCATTTATGAATACCTTCTAGAGTCAGGTGATTCAGTCCTTTAAGGGTATCTACAGAGCCATTTCATTCACTCTATAAGTATACTTTTCTCCAATTATGTATGGCCGAATTACCAGCTAAACATGAACAAAACCAAACTACGCGTTCAGAAATGTTTTGTTATACACTTATCCTTACCTTGGTCATTGCTTGGTTATTCTTTTCATTTTATTCTAGTTTACCATTCGAATTCATTCCCCCTGACTTCATCTAAACTGGTAGTTGTTTTGACAACACTTGACCTACTTTTGGTGACTCTAAAGTATAGCAGCCCAAAACAAAACTACCTAATGAACGTACCAACGACTGTGAGCAGCCATTTAGATGGGTGGGTATTATGTAGGCAGAATTATGAATGCTGTACACAAATTACTCAGCGAATTCCATCCAAATCTAGTATTACAGGGCAACATGGAAGAATGAACACTAAAGTCAACCAATCAGATACATCAGCGTGACAAATAGATGATTCTCATGATCTCAACTGCATGTTTCATACGGATTCAGAGTATAGGTAAGTGTGAAATTAGCAATGACGGGTAAGAGTGCATCGTGCAACGAAGCATAGATGTAGAATGAATCTTTCAACGAAGATTAGGGTTAAAGTGCTCAATATCATTTGACTTTGGTGTCTGTTCTTTACTGTTGCCTATTTAATTACCGCTTAGACACAGATTCATTGGAAGGGACAAAACGAGTGTTAATTCCATTCTTAGCTGCTCTTTTCTA